ATGGTAATTATCTGATGGAAAATGATGGCATTCATACTGTTTTAGTGAGCCACTAAATTTCTAGTCACCTTTCTTTTTTTTTTTTTTTTTTTTTGGGGGAGTATCAGAAATGTCTAGTCACCTTTCACAAAGTAAAATACTATGACTGTATTTTGAACTTTGAAACTATATTTTCAATACATCCAATTGCCAAAGTTTTGCTGTCTCTTGGAAAAAGAACTATGAAACCAACTGACATTGGTTTCTGTTGAAACCAATTCTCTGTTGAGCTTTTTCTTTCTCACACAGTGCATGGCCTAAGTTTATTTCAACCCCCCCCCCCCCCCCCAGATCCGGAGATCTGAAGCTAGCCTTGGAAATACCCATTTTTATTAAGTTCTTCTTGAGTATGTCATCACACTGGCTAGCCATTTGGTGTGAACTTTTAAGTTTGGGAAATAGTCTGGTTCACTAAGGTTCCAATCTTTGTAGAAACTTAAGCCAAATATATACCATGGGCTCATGAAGTGTGTCTTTTTACTACTCTGTGACTGGGTTTTTATAAAATTCTTCTTGGAGAAATCTACCCAACTTAAGATTTTAGAAAGATAAAGGAGCTGCTTAGTTTAATTTTAGGAAAAATGTACTTACTCCATGATTCTTTAAAGAATTCACTAGCTGTTGTAAGATACCATTTATAAGTCATTCTTCTTATAAAATGTTATGAGATAGAACAGTGCCAAGCAAATTTTACTTCCTGTGTAAAAATTCTGTTGTGACCAAAACTGTCTTGTCTTGTTCATTGAGTAGAGTGGTAGTACTTTATGCATTTCTTTAAATTGATGGCTCTTTTCAAATCCCTCCCTAAAATTGCTGAAAACTTTCAATTGTTTCCTTGTCTAGCACGTACTGAAAAAGCTTCTGGCCATAACAGAACTACTTCAGCAAAAACAAAACCAGTACACAAAAACCAACGATGTCAGGTAGCAGCTTTCACCAAGTGTTCTGCATGGATTTCAGCATGCCCGACATGGTAATTCACATCAGTATGTCTCCCCTGCTCTTGCCAAAAAATAGCACACTTTCCCACATTCCAGTGATGTGTGAGCTATGCAAACAAAAGCCCAGATTCTGCTGGAGAATAATGGTGCCAGCAGTGTTGTAAGCTATCTGTGCAGGATATTTGCACTTTTCCACATACGGATTCAACAATCTTTACCAACCTCTGAGCCTTGGTGTACAGATCACCTTTCACAAAATAAAATACTATGACTGTACCTTGAACTTTGAAAATATATTTTCAATACATCCAATTGCCAAAGTTTTGCTGTCTCTTGGAAAAAGAACTATGAAACCAACTGACAAGAAAAAGCATTCTCTGTTGAGTATAACTGGATTGCAGACTGTTCTTACTGTAACTTCTTCCTGATTAGGAACATGACCGTTTGACTGTTCAATGACTATTTGTATTTACAGTTTCCAGAATTTGCCATTATAATAGGAACAATCTTTGCTGTACACTTTTTTTAAAAATACTGTGCTATTTCTCTTGCTGGAACTGTTGAAAGAAAATATATAGAATGGATCTATTTGCTCATCAGCTTTATTTTTTAAACATACCACTTATTTTGTTGGAATCATCAAAGACTGTATTCAGATCTCATAATAATGCTTTTGTTAAATGTTTACACAGTAAATAGTTTGAATTCAATAAATATTATTGGTCTTTGTACTGGTCAGTGCATGTTACCCATTCAACCATTTTATGGATTACCAATTTTTTTTTATATAAAAAAGAAAACTCTAGAATACTTTTTGTTTAAAATACTCATTTTGTTAGCATTCATTAATTCCAAGCAGATTATCTGATTAGCTAAACAACCTCATCAATCACTTAATAGCTATACGTCGTTGAAATCTGACTACTTGCTGTATCTGCTGGATACTTAGTTTGACTGTATAGTTTTATTTGCTTCCGTATGTGTATTTTTGTGAAGGATTCACAAGGGTTAAGTTAAAATAAAACCAAGGGATATCTTGCATTATTGGTTATGTTTTTCTAATACAGGTGAGCATTTATTTCATTCCTTTCTTAGGAGTTCAAATTTAGTACCAAAGCAAGGTCCAGGGAGAAAAATGAAACTTCAGATTTACTCATTTGTATTTTTGATTGAAAAAACACAGAAATTTTGCAGGGCTGGGGTGATAGTATAGTTCAGTCTCTATACCACATGGTCTCCCAAGCGCCACCAGGATGGTCCTTTTGGTCTCTTAACAGCACAGGAACCAAACAGCACTGAATTCTTGGGTCCTAATTACCAAACCATCAAGTAATACTAGAAGTACCTGGGTTTGGTGAGTGCCTTGGGAGGCCAGAAGAAAAATCTCAAACATTTATCACAGTAAAAAAAAAAAAAATTTCCAAAGGTGCTAGATGCTAGGAGTAACATTTTTTTATTCTATTCTTCTCGTATATAGGGAAAACAAGAAGTAAACCAAGTGTTGCAAAGAATTCCTCCTATACAGGCAGCTACGCTGATCTGTATATAATTACAGCTGTACATAATTACAGCTATAATTATCTGTATATAATTATATAACAAGGGAAAACTCAGTATATCCTGAAGGTTTTTCCCTATCGCTTCTGTACCTTTTTCCCTAGATCTCACTTTAGGTAGAAGGTAGACCAAAGGAATAGAAACTCATGACTGTCAACAAAATTCACAACAGTCCAAATTTTAGTGCTGGATTCTTTTGTCTGTATGGTCTGTAGCTATCCTAACCATTCCTCAACCTGAAATGCTTCTGCGTCTCATTTCTTTGGGGATACCCTCTGGAGCTGCTTTTGACTGTGCTCCATGGACCATTCCCGGTGATTCAGTCTCTGCTATGTCACTCAGTCTTTTGAGCTGTTTCTTCAGTATTACTTCTTACTAAAAACAAAAACATACAAACCTAAAGGTAACTTTTTTTCGTATTATATATGCAACGGGAAATTTTTCATTTACCTTTTTATAGGACCTGGCGTAACTTAGCAAGCCAGTGAAAAGTCAAGTCATTTTAGTGGGACCAGATAGGAAGGATTACAGAGATTAAAGAAAGTTGAGTGAACTCTAATAAAAGAAAGTTGTGAACAGTCTACTCTAGCAGTTCTGCTGTTAAATCTGGACTATATCTGTGAATTGGCAACTCTAGCTTCTTCCACTCAGCTTCTGTACAAATTATATTTCATGAATTTGAGTCATTGTTTCATAGTGAGGAAATGAAAAACATACCCAAAATCGAAGCCTAAAATATAAAAAATTACCATAGGAAGACATGCATGTTTATATAACATGTATATTACAAAATTTGCTCTCAGATCGTACAATGTAAATAGATGGTAACTACACTTTCATTGGAAATTTTCACAGCTTAGATGCATTGACAGTGAAGATAGACATTTGATTTTTATATATGCCCCCAGTCTCTGGTGACCCACGGGTCACACCCATAAGCCACTCCCTGCTGGTGCCAGTTCATCTCATCGGCCACCCTCCAGAACTCATTGGCTGTTTCTCCCGGAAGGAAGCATAAAATGAGGCCCCCATAACCATGCCACCAGACTCTGCGCCAGGATGTTTTCATCTGGGGCTCCCCAGAGGGAGGCAGGTGAGAGCCTGTGGCCGAGACACATCATAAGACATTAGGCAACAAATCATAAAAATATGTATGTATATTGGAGAGCCCAGCAAGCTACCAAGAGAGTCCCGCCCCCACGGGCATAGCCTATCAAGCTCCCTGTGGCGTATTCAATATCCTAAAAACAGTAACAATACGGGTCTCATTTTCCTTGACCCTGAAAGAGCCTCCAATGGTTGGGAAAGACGAGCAAGGAGAAGCTGTTAAAATCTCAGGTCTGGGAAGAATAGAGATGTTACTGCCCACCCGCTTGAGGTAATCAACAAACAATGGGATGACAATGATACAGGGTTATGCCCCCCAAATTAGATTCAGGACAGTTTCTAGAAAAATATGAGATATCTATAATAAGGTTCCAAATTAGAAAGTAAAATCTAAATGAACATATAGCATAAGAAATTGAGTTTATCAAAATATTACCTATGCAGGAAATATTATTACTAATCCTGTGAGTGCTAAGTGTTATTTTACCTACTTTCAGGTTTGGCAACTGCAAGAGTTTTAATAATTTGCACAATATCACAAAAGCAAAGAGGTAGCGCTAATTCACAAATCAAGGTACTTAGTGGCACAGTTTTCTCCTATATCAACTTATTTTTTGGTTATTTAAACAGTTATCTGAAAATTCTCCAGTAACTCCAACTCTATATCTAAATAATAAATAAATAATAAAGGAATATATAATTTGCAGCTATCTACTCAACTTACAGAAATCTAAGATTGCTACCAAGACAACTATTCCAGATTTGTATTTGATTTGCTCTAAAGCCTGTGTGGAAATGTTTTCAAATAACTAATTGAAGAAAACAAGTATTAACTATCTTGGGTGACTGGAGCATATTAAATAGATTCTGTAGTTTAATTTTAAGACAAATTACTTACCAGGAGAAACTAGAAAGCTTTAAGGAGGGAAAAAAATATTCTTTAGCGTGCTTAAAACGTTTCATCTAGCATCTACACTGAGCGCTGCCATTAGGCCCATACCAAGTTAAATTCCCCCTACCCCTACAGAACTAGGATGGAAATCAATATAGGCAAATAAGTTAAAACTTTGACTACTGTAGAAAAAATTGACATTAGGTGCCAGAGAGTACAGTGGGTAGGGTGCTTGCCTGGTATGAGGCAACTCAGGTTCAATACTTGGCATCCCATATGGTCCCCTCAGTCTCTCCAGAGTGATACCTGGACAGAGCCATAAGTAAGCGCTGAGCACAGCCAGCTGTGGCCAATACCAGAGGAAAATTTGAGACTAGAAGATAATGTAAAGAGGTGCCATTCCAGCTCTTTAGAAAACACTTTATTTCACAAAAAGTCCTGAAAGACCTCCCCTAAAAAAAATCAATTTGAAACAATAGGAACGTTTAATGATGCATAGATGCTTTGACATTATTTCATCTTCAAATAGTTAAAAGCTGATATAATTTTTCTTTTTCGTTCGTTAATAACGTAGATAGGTCTATTCCGAATGGTTAAAGAGAATCTACCAAGTCATCATCAGTCCATTCTTCCTGAGAAAGGAAAATATAAGCACAACATTATACTGAAGCATAACCAACACTGTTTAGCACCTTGTTTCCCTTTAAGAAAATATGATGTTAGGGCTGGAGAAATAGTATAGCAGGTAGGATACTTTGCCTTGCACATGGTTGACTGAGGTTCAGTTCCTGGCATTGCACGCCCATCACCCGAAAGTGATCCCGTGAGCAGAACCAAGTGTGGCCTCCAAACCAGTCAAAGTATACTAATAAGAGGAGGCAGGTACAACAGGAAAATTGGTTGTGGTTTAATTTCAATAATGTGGCATGGTCTCACCAGACTACTCCCAAAAGAAATATTGTTTGTGGTTTAATTTCAATAATATGACATGGTCTTACCAGACTACTTCCCAAGAGAAATATAAGTTTTGAGCTTCTATCAGACTTTCTAGTACAATTCATTTTTAAGGAAAGAAGGAAAATTCTTGAAGAGGTAAGCCAGTAAAAATTTAGCATGAATATATATAATGTCCACAGGAAGGACTCCTCACTAAATAACTGTTATTTTACTACGTTATATAGGCTGAGAACGGTGAGGAAAATCCCTATATTGAAAGAATGCACAAAAAAATTTAGGGCTTTCAAAAACCTGTAGCACTGTAGCACTGTCCTCGCGTTGTTCATCGATTTGCTCAAGCGAACCCAGTAACACCTCCATTGTGGGACTTGTTACTGCGTTTAGCACATCGAATACATCACGGGTACCTTGCCAGGCTTTGCTGTGCAGGCAAGATACTCTCAGTAGCTTGCCGGGGCTCTCCGAGAGGGGCGAAAGAATCGAACCTGGCTCAGCAGGCAACACTCTGCTGCCATGCTATCGCTCCCGCCCTGTACCTCTATAATGCTTATACACTGGAACAAGACAATCTTCAACAGTCACTGTCACTGTCCTCCCGTTGTTCATCTTAACAGCGTGTCAAAATAACAGAACGTACAGGAGTAGGTGAAATCTGACTTTGGGGGGGCCTCAGCAGCTAGCGTTTTGTATGCCAGAGATTTAGGAGTAATCCTCAGTACTACCACATGGTCTCCAAGGGGCAGCTACTCCCCTGCGTCCCCCCTACCACCCAACTCTCACAGGTGTCATCCTAGAAACCAAAAGAAGAAAAAGACCTTTGGGGAACATACCTCATGCTTGGATTTCTTTGAGACATAATCATCGTCTTCGTAGCCTTTCCTCTTCTTCCTAAAATCAAGTAGTCATCAATTAATACTGGCAACAGAAACTATTAACTAGCAAGGTGTAGTATGAAATATTATGGATAGGATGACAGTGTCTTTAAAGTCAATGAAACTTTAATGAAGTTCTAACAAAATTTCATGAAATGTGAATTTTAATTGATCTGGGAAATAGTATAAAAGTAGCAAAAGAATCTTTTAAGTATGAGGACCTAGTTATCAAAACACTTTAAAAACTATAAAAGTAGTAACAAAGAAATCAGTTTCATAATAATAGACAAAAATCAGCGCACGTATATATAGGATTTAATATGTGAATAAAATATTTAAAGTGGGGCTGGAGTGATAGCACAGCGGGTAGGGCGTCTGCCTTGCACGCAGCCAACATGGCTGACCCAGGTTCAATTCCCAGCATCCCATGGAGTCCCCCGAGCACTGCCTGGAGTAATTCCTGAGTGCATGAGCCAGGAGTAACCCCTGAGCATTGCCGGGTGTGACCCAAAAAGCAAAAAAAAAACCCAAAAAGTCTACCAAAAAAATATTTAAAGTAACTTACTAAAATTTTTAATGGTTGGTAAACAGATTATTTTAGAAGAATATTAAATTTCTATCTCACTATTCACAGACAATTCACGGTCACGGTCCTCCCGTTGTTCATCGATTTGCTCGAGCAGGCCCAGTAACGTCTCCATCGGAGACTGTTGTTACTGTGTCTGGCATATCGAATACTCTCAGTAGCTTGCCGGGCTCTCCGAGAGGGGACTCGGGTCGACCATGTTGGCTGCGTGCAAGGCAAACGCCCTACCCCTGTGGGAAACAAACTGATTTCTTTGTTACTTTCATTATTATGAAACTGACTTCTTTGTTACTTTCAAACGCCCCTGTGGGTAGGGCGTTTGCCTTGCATGCAGCCAACAGACAACTCAAATTGGTTGTTAACAGCTGAACAAAGGGTAAAATACACAGATTTATAAGAAACGTTACTCAGGTGTAAAAGCATAGGGCAAAAGTTTTCAATTAAGTCGGAAGAAATATATAAAAAGAAGACTGAATGTATAAGATATACAAACAACTACAAGTCAACACCAGAAAATTAGGCAAGGATATTCAAGTCAAGCAATATAGAAGAGAGAAAAATGGCTGGTAAGTGCAGAAGTACAGGTGCCTTGTAGAATTAGGGGCAATGCAAATTAAAATACCAGTCTCACTTTCTCAGCCAGATTGGTAATAGTTACAAATTAGTATTTAATGTCTTGCAGTATCTGCAAACACATTTAACATTTAACAGAAAGAAAAATAAAGCTTCATACATATATATGTAGCTGGCAAAGGTAAATACCAAACAACCAACACATAGATTATGACTGGTAGTTGAGTTTTGGTCAAAGATAACTATGTTTACCTGTACTCATTAACTTCAATAATGACAACACAGTTATTATGTAATTTAAAGGATAAAGGAAAATATTTTATCTAAAAGTTATATTTAAATAGTCCATATGCTGTTGCTGGTCCTTGAACAACTTTCAGTGTACAGTACTAAGTACAGAAATCAAATATGTGCACATAGACACTTTCAGAGCAATTGGACAGTTTAATAAATTTTACAATGTCGAATTCTAATAAAATGTACGCTTATCATCTCATTTACTTGTAATTTGTTAATGTAGTTTATGAAAATATATGTATATGTTTTTTAAAGTCCTTAGTTTGAGAATCATCCTTACATATTCATATGGTTAGTTATAACATTTTATGCAGTACAAACTAGATGGGAACTTGCGTAAGATATAAACTGGGAATTAGGAATTCCAGACTGAACGGTCCATTCAGTCACCTAGCTAAAAAGGTTTGAATGGTTTAATTCAGAGGTTGATATATTTTCTCTGAAAAGTAATTTTATTTTAATGAAGCAAAAGTTTTTAATTAAAATTTAGAGAAGTGTGAGGGGAGAGAAAGATACACATTTAAAAGAGAATACACAAGTTTTGGGGGGAAGGAGGAATAAGGCAAAAATAATGGCTTTTAGAACATTACATACAATTTCTCCAGACTGTCTTGGTCTGAAGTTCTGTACATACATAAATGATAATCTAAGGGCCAGAGTAGTTGTTCAGCGGTTAGGGTATTTGCCATGCGCACAGCTGATTCAGATTGAAGCCCTGGCACCCCATATGGCCTCCCAGCCCACCAGAAGCCACGAGTGATCCCTTGAGCATAGAGCCAGAAGGAAGCCCTGAGGTTTGCCAGGTGTTGCCCCAGAAGAAAAAGTTAATCTGAGTCTTATCCTATTATTAAAACCTTTACTTTAGCTTCTATTTTTTTGTTTGGTTTTTGGACCATACCAGGTGATATGCAAGGATTACTCCAGGTCAGGCACTCAAGAATGCGGTGGCGCTTTTGTGAGGGGTCTGCCCTTCTCTGGGTGGTGCCTTGATTCTCCAAAGAGATTTGCTCTTCATGGCTTTGGTCTGCTTCCGAGCTGGGCACCTTAACTCTAATTTCCTAAACCTCATTTCCAGGGACCCCATATCTATCTGTCTGCAACATTTACCCTCTAGATGTCACCCCCTTAAATCTTAAAGGGGTACATAGGTGTTTTCTATAATTTCTTTATAGAAAAAATTATATCTTTAACAAAAGGATGCAGAGCCTGATTTTTAGTTTTTACTGTAGTTTAGGCTACATGGTTGCAACAGCATGTACAATTATATTTTGATCCACAAAGTTACTATACCTTTACCATTTTAGACCCTGAATGCCATGCAGTTTCTTCAGAATTACCTGAAGATTCTGCAGTGGTGTGACAACAGTAGAGGCAGTGTGCAAACTGATGCTTATCTGTGTCAATATGTGAGAATACAATAAAACTATGTAAACCCAGGCAGTTACCAGAATTTGTCTAATGGACACTCTGCCAATTCCTAGTGTTAAGCCATTTCAAAATCAGCGTGAAGAATATCAGGGCTGCAGTTCTATCATTCATTAAAGTCAGCATTTCTTCTTTACCTTTGTTACTTTGATCAGGCATCAGTCTACCAGTTTTGAGCTGCATGGGACACAATGCTTTCAAGTTATAAGTATGAATAACTTGAAATACTTCTGCTTTTTATATACTTCCCAAGTCCCTAGATAATTTGTTTTCTCCAACTACATAGAGAGTTTGAGGGTGCTTTTGTAAGCAAGAAGACAGAAATTCAATCTTGACACCACCCCACACGCCAAGGACAAACCCAGCAAAACTGCCATTTGTGCCATTTGTGATCCCTGGCACACAACCAGATGTGTGTCTGGAAAGCACTAAAGCATGTGAGCCCCTCTCCCCCAATTATTCCAACAAAGAAAAAGATGGTGTGTATATACACATATATATGTGTGTATATATATATATATATAATTTGTGTATCTGCTATGAATGATTTTCTGGCCTCTTTGAGACACAAACCAGCAGTCTATATTAAACTTATCAGATGCATCTTAAATATAAGATGCCAAAACTAATTTCAACACATAGAAGAGCTTCTTGAATCAACGCATACCACAGAAAATAGAAAAATAATGTTTTGCTAGTCCAGTCATCCATACAAAATCCCAACCAACTGCGTTGAATGCTAAAGGATTATTAGGTAGAGCCTTCATATGCAAAGCACACCAAGCCACAGCATGGGTCTTTCTGCATTTAGCCTACAAATCAGGGCGATACCAAAGGTTTACCCTTTTGGCAGTCAGAAGAGACTTAACAGCCTTTTCCTGCCTTCAACGTGACATTTCCTACTGAAGGAAAATATGCTAGTTTCCTTAGCAGAATTAAGTCTGTTAGAGTTGCTCATATGAAATAACACATCTCTATAGAAACCAAAATTAAAAAGGCAAAGAAGAGATTCATGGATTCCCTTAGAATGCAGTCCCAGTAAATGGGACGCACAGGAGAAGAAACTGATCACGGGACAGGGCCAGAAGCCAAACAACAGGAACAGACCTATACTGTAAAACGCTTCTATCCCACACTGAATTCTGTCAGAAAGGCCTAACAAAAAAAACCTGACAATGTTTGTCAGTTTTCACTAGTTTAAAAAAACAATTACCACGTACATGATTTTCTTTTAAAGACCAGCAGGAAGATAACCATGATACCTTTACTTACGTGGTCACATTGAGTGCAAGCTCAGCAGAGTGACATCTCTCCAACTTCTGTTTCAGAATGGCGACTTCTTCAGGTCTAGGAGCTTCATACTTTTTTACCAAATTTCTCATGCCTATGTAGAATTTGTTTTTTGTTAAAAAAAAAAAAAGGATTTACACCAGATGATTAAAAAGTATTGTTAAAACTTTTTAAGGGAGTTGAAACTTCATTTCGGGGGACCAACATACTATTCAAATCTGTGATTACCATCAAGACCTGCATTAAAAAATTCTACCTTCAAAGTCAAGGAACACCATACTGTTGAAGTGATTATAGCCACCTGCTGCTTAACCTATGTACAGCATAAATAGCAGCCTGCACTACAATTTAGTATTTTTTGGGGGGATGGGGGTGTGCAATCCTACACAAAGGTGATTTTTTGGTTTTTAACGTTTAAAAAAAATTCCTACATAATTTAATGAGACTGCTTCCTTGCCACCAATAATACTCAGAATATCCTACCCTAGATACCTTGGGTCAAGGGTATACTTTATTTATAAAGAATACCAGTATTACATATTATGTAATGAAGGGAGGCCACTTACCAAAAAAAGTGTGGGTAGTCCTTTGCTTTAATAATAGGCGAAGCCTAGACTTGGGAAAAAAGTTTCCTCATTATGCTAAAACAGATTGCTCTATGAGTTACTTTCTATTTGCAGAAACAGTCTCTGCTTGGTGTGTTTATATTTTTCAACTACGATTTATATATCTAAATCCCAAGAGTTATTAGAAGAATAATGCAAGATCGGTATTTTAATAACTAGTCATATGTTCAACTAGGTAATTATGTTACCGACTTTTTCACAATGCAAATAAAGGCAAATATTCAAGTAAATTCTTATGACACGTTTAAAATCTTTGTTCTGAAAAATTATGAATATAACATTTGTAAGACGCTGATTTATAAACAACTGTTTTCATTCTAAAATAAACAGTACAATAAAGATACCGAGGGGGGCAGAGTAATAGTATAGCAGGGAGGGTGTTTGCCTGGCACACAGCCAACCTGACTTCAATCCCCAGTATCTTATATATATATAGGTCCTCACCCTGAGCACACCAGAAGTAATTCCTGAGTATAGAGCCAGGAGTAACCCCTGAGCATCAGCGGGTATGGCCCCCAGACAAACAAAAAATAAAAACACTGAGATATTACCAGTGATAAAATTGTTGTTAGCTATAAAATCTTTAAGGCCCCCTGCAAGCCACCGAATTCCATGAGTCTTAGTCTATGGTCAAGTAACAGTTCACTTTTTGAAAGTGAACCCTCTAGTGGTATAAATGGAGACCTACAGATTCATTAACTACTACTCTTAAGAGGAAAACCTCTTTTCTTTCAAGCGTAAAATAATCTTAACCTGCCCTGAAACCTGTTAACCTAAAAACATCTTAACTAATGTATATAAAGTATGCCCACTTACTGTTATCCAAGATTAAGATCTTCAATTTCACATTTGATTAGTTTGTTCAGACTTAAGAGAAAACTATAAATCCAACAGGGAGAATTGGGGAAAAAAATGTTGGGAGGAATAAACTTAATTCACTTTTCCATATAATGCAATATATTTAATAATTCTTTTTTGTATTTAATAATTCTGAAAATTAAAAAAAAGAGTCAGTGGGAAAACAGATCGAACATGTCTATCAAAAAGGGAAGATACATACATGAAAAAGTTATTTTTTGCTTAATTATGGTCAACAAATTATTTTTTAAATTGTGCCAAACTTACGGGTTTTTTTTCAATTTAGATATCATGGTGTGCAATAATGTTAATATGTTTTAGGAGTACAGTGTCACAGCATAATACCAGCAGGTTATCAACATCTCCCCCCACTGATTTCAGGCTCCTTTTCGCCAGTTGTATGGGCAAAATTTTATTTGTGGGTCTGTGGGAGAGGTGGGAAGGCTTTGGAAGTTACAGCAAAGAGAAGAGAGTTGGATTCACACCCTGCAGTGTTCAAGCTTATTCCTGGCTCTGTGTTCAGAGATAACTCCTGGAGGTGAATGGCCCATAAATGGTGCAGAGCAGCACTGTATTGAGGATTATCTGGAGTGGTTCTGAGCTGTCTCCCTCGCCTCCCCCAGTTTCCCCCTCCCTGCAAAGCACCCAGCACCGTTTGGAAGTCCCCCAGATTAAAAAAATAAAAACAAACCTGATTTTCAATCTTAACCCTATTCTGAATCTAGATTCAGAATTGAATCTAAATTCAATTCCCTAGTAAGTTCTGTATATGTGAATACTATTTCCTTTCATGTATCTTTTATGATCCCCACCAGTATAGTCTTCATGCATCCCTGGTACAATGAAATTAAACCTATCTGTAATGTAAATGTCAAGATAGCTTCATAATAGAACATTTTGTACTATGTTTTACTTACTTTTCATTGTGTCTAGCAGCTGTGACAAACAAGTTCTATTATCTTTCAGCATCAGACTTTCCGATAAATAACTGGTAAAGAAAGGCAAAAGTTTTCATTTATTGAGTATATTCAGCTTTTTGAGGGGGGAAAATGATATAAATTGTTTCTGCCCATACTCACTTAAAAGGTATTAAATAGCAAGTTCTTTGAGCCCCACAAAACAATCTATAACTATTTCCCAACCTCTTCTGGTTGTGGCTCATTCTGACCTTGTTTTCTGCGGTTGGTACCCTGTCTCACTAGTTGTCCCCTAGTCTCATGGCATTCCCCAACCACCACCTCTAACCTCCCTCTGCTCCAAACATACACACAAAATTTATTCCATTTTAATTTATGGCCTTTTCCTTAGCTATTTCAAGTGAAATCAAGCAGAAATTCAAAGGTCAGAGAAATTAGACATAAAAATTGTAAAGTCTAATTTGCGGCTTGGTCTGTGCCTCAGTGATAATATGATGATAATATGGGTAATTTACGAGTACCAGATACTGTTGTAAGATCAAGTGATCAAGTGAATTAAATTCAAGTAAAGTACTTTATCACACAGCCTGGTTCTTAGTGTGCATTTATGTATTAACTACTACTATTTACAGCTCAATTGCAATCCATCCTGGCATTCCCTAGACGATTACTTTCTCAGCAAGTATGTACTAAATTAAATGTGCTACATGTGCTGCACTGAATAATGATAAAGCAAGACAGACATTTGTTACACTTATGCTCTTCACCAGTTCAAAACTTCTAAATCTGCTGTACACCAATAGCTTTGTCATTCTAGGATCACCCCATTTACTTAGTCACAAAAGAATCCTCCTAGCTTGTATATAACAAACTCAGTTTTTAAAGATCTCCTTAAAATGTAATTTTTTTTCTCCCCTCAGTTGTCCTAGTCTACCCACCCAGCTGTAGGAGATATGAAGGACTACAGTCATAAATTTCAAGTTAAAAATAAATGAATACCTTTCCATAGTAATTCCTGCTCTGCATGCACTAGACAAAATGGCAGTCAGGGCAATTTGGGATGGTGTGTATAAAAGATAAGCATCTGTTAATGAAACTCTGTTGAGAAAGTCATCAGCAGTTCTCCGCAACATCTCTGGATTTTCCAACATGGGATAGCGTGTCTGAAAATCAAGCTTGCAGATGTTAGTGCTTCTGAAAGGTTTAATGAAGTAATAACAGAACAGGAATATGTAGACTAACAGTAAGTATATAAAAGAGGGAACTTTTATAAAAGCCCTTTCCAACACTCCAGCAACAACTAGTCTTTCCATACCAAATTGCTTTTTCAGTTTCTTCCTTTTTCTTCAGTACTAGCACTTAGGGCTTCAAATATGAAAGGCAACTCTCTACCACTGTTCTATATTCTCGGCCCACAAAATTGTTCAATACTATGCATTCAAATATACTCTAAAAATACGGTCATTACATTCTGCAAGATTAAGGGGTGTGTGTGTGTGTGTGTGTGTGTGTGTGTGTGTGTGTGTCTGTGGGACACACATACCCAGGTGCTCAGGGGACCATGTGAAAAAGAAATGAAGCCCAGGCCTCCTGTATACATTCATTTAGTCCACAGAACTACTGCTCCTTGCCAAGGAATCTTTGTTCACTCCGCAGCTTTTAAGCTTTTTGAATACAATTCAGAACAATATACACACTTTAAGGTTTCATCTCTAAAGTACCCAATATAACTCTAGATACTATTCTCATTTATATTGATTCTTTTTTCATTTGAGGATGTAGGGAAAGGGAGAGACTAACTGGATTTAGCATGAGAAAGAAGGAATGAAGATGCTTGCCCTGCACTGGCTAACTTGAGTTGGACCCCGGGCACTATGTGGTCCCCGAGCACCACCAGGAGTAACCCATGAGGACCGCTGGATGTGGCCTTAAAGTGCCAATCCTCACACCCAAATTTTTTGATTTGGTCTAAAGCACACCAAGTATTCCTAGGTAAATGTTTCCTAGACAGTCTGAATGAGTTAGAGCTAAGGACATATTAGGAAACCAAAGTTACAATTTTTATTTAAAATTCCTTTTCTGTTTTGAGGACAGAAGAACAGTAAAGTGGGTAGGGCTCTTTTCTTGCACGCAGACAGTGGAGGTTCAGTCTCTGACACCCCATATGGTCGTCCTGCACTTCCAGGACGATCACTGAGTACAGTCCGGAGCACAGCTGGGTGTGGTCCAAAAATTTAAAAAGTAAAATCGTTTCCTGTTTTGTTGGTTTTGTTTTTTTTTTTTTTGAAGGGAAAACTAGGTGAAAATGAATCTTGCTTGGTGACAGAATTAACTTTTAAAGACTGTCCAAGAAAATATGGAAATTTTCATATTTCCACATAATTATACTTATAATTTAAGATGAACTATAAACTGTGAGCCCTTAGCTTTATTTCAAAAATCCACATTCAAGTTGCAAGCAGTAAGAAACCTTTTTTACATACTAAAACAAAATTTCGAGTCAATTCTGCAGCTTCACCTTGATCTTGTCATTACCCCAAATGCCTACTCTGATTTTCTCAGAATCATACATGCATGCCATTCTCACCCCAGGTCTCCTTTTTCAAGTACATCTGTTTAGTGACTTCACTTGTTCTCTATTTCCTCCTCAGAACTTGGGTCTCTTAACCACTCTGCTGGCTCCCACTTACCTGTTCCACCCAGTCCTCATTCACTGCACGAATTCCCCCATTCTGATTTCCTGCCCACAAACACATCTCTAGAACTTCAACAGTGGATGAATTCCCTTTCAATTTTCCTAGGGTAACGACATCCAGACCTTTTATTTCCAGCCCAGACATCTCTCCCAATACAAATGAGTGACCACCTATCTGGATTACTCGCAAACAAGATAAATTTATTGTTTCCAAACCCAAACTTGTCAGCTTCCTAACATATCTTCAACCATTAACTCTTTCCTGTGCCAGTGTTTCTTGCAGCAACAGATATGCCACCATAAACCACTCATGCAGCCCAGAAATCTAGGGATTCCACCCCCGTCCTCACTTTCTATTTTTAATCAATCAAGCTCTACTCATTCTGCTTCCTTTCTGAAGTCCAGAGAGCTCTCTCTCTGCAGCCAGTGCCACTGCAAAGCAACAAGCATGTTGAACCTGAACTACTCTAACAACATCTTAACAAGCATCCGTGATTCATCAAATTGATTCTTTATATTCATTCTGACAGATGTGTGCGCGCGCACACTACACACACACACACACACACAGAGCGGTGGGCAGTGCGATGATGGAACCGTGGTCTCCAGCATGTAAAGCATGTGCTCCAGCCTGAGCTGTGTCTCCAGCTCCATATCTTGCTCACTTTTGAAGCTACAAGCCTAGTTATGACAATTCTCAGACAAACTTTTCACAAGCTTCCCACTGCTCTATTCAAGATTGTTAACATCATGTCCATGTTTCAGACTCTACCTTCCACTCAATGGCACTTTTTTTCTGCCCCATCTCTAATCTTGACTTAGTTTTTTTATTTTATGGTTCTTGAATCAGGGCCTTTGCCTGGAGAAGTCGCTTTTAAAGGCTCTTTTTGCCACCTACTTGTTACTCTTGCTCTGAAGTTCACCCGAAATGAAACCTCCCAGAACCATCTTCCTTTTCTCTCAATGATGTCCTCCTAAAATATATTTCCCCCACTTTGCCATTTAGCACACTGAGTACATGATTATTATCTGTCTCATCAGATATATGTTTCTGCTTTATTTCCAGCGATGTCTTTAAGCAGTGACTGGCATACAGAAGTTACCAAATTTGCCAACCAAGATGAGTGAACCTGTTCCTGACTTCTGTTTGACTATACCAAGATTGTACAATCAATCTTGTTTGGGCTCTCTCAGTGCCCAAACAAAAGCTGTTTTTGTCAATGTTTATTTACTTATACTTTTGATGCTTATATATTGACTGATGTTCACAAAACACTAAGAATAGGACATTGGCAACCGTCTAGTTAAAAAATAAAGGATTTTTTAAAAGTGGTTTTAAAATTAAGTCACATAGTATTCATCAGAATTATGAGTTATCTTGTCTCTTTATTTTTCCCTCCTATGATATGCCATGCAGTGCTCAGGTTTTAGTCCTGGCTTTTATGCTGAAGGATCACTCCTGGCACTGCTCAGGGGACCATAAGAGGTGTTGAGATCAAACCCATGTTGGGGATTCAAGCCATGTGCAAGGCAAGTACCACACCAACTGTACCAAGTCTCTGGTCCCTAGTTAACTGACATTTTTAAATGCATTAAAAGCTCACAATGCTCCTTATTTTGGTCTCTGAATCAGTAATTACAGACCTACTAAATGAGAAGTTCTGAAATGACAGCCTCAATATCTGTTTACCATGTCCTCCAGGTAGAGTTTGAGAACAACTAACCAAAATTCACATATAGTTGGACGCATGTGGTATCAATTAGGATGATGGCAAGTAGTAAAATTTGGATTCTTCTGGTTAGAGAGTAATAGCAAACCAGTGCATTCGAATTTTTTTTATATATAACAAGATTACCTTTATATCAATGAGAAAGCCCTCAAATGGTCTATATGGGTTGTGAACAATAAGGTGGAAATTAAGTTGCTGTATAAGTAGCAGTTCATATTCCAAAATCTGTTCCAGTGCTTTCTCCTGCCCAAGAGGACTCTCCCGCAGATTTCCAACAAATTGTGGGCTTGATACATTGAATTCATCTACTTTGCAGGCCAAAAATGCACAAGTAAGCCTAAAGGAAAAATAAGGAGATTGGAAAGATAAGAATATACTTTGACAAATATCTAAACATTTCCCCCTGAAAGTATCTTCAAAAATTGCCCAATATTCACAAATATTGCTATTAATGCAAGAATTTTATTTAAAAGAAAAATCTCCATTCAAATCTTTTATCCATGAGAAAACCATAAACTTTGGTTAATGTATACTGTGCATGTTACTGTGATAGAGTTCAACCATTAATATCTTAATATGTTTATATAAATACCTGGGTAGGTAGAGATGAGGGACAGTAGGGAGACAGCTCAAAGGGTGAGCAGAATAACATGCTTTGCTCAATCCTCATAGTGCATGATCCCCTAAGCACAGCTGGGAGCAGGCCCTCAGTGCAGATCAAAGTGTGCTCCCTCTCCCCCAAATACAAAACCAAAAATAACCTGAAGGGATAATGGCCCCTTATATATGATATGCAGAGAAAATAAAAAGCAATAGCACATGTACCACAGGAGCACAGGAAGATAGAAGTTTAAGGGACACTGGATAAGGCCATGGGTGAGTCATCTCTGAGGGTACATGAATAGGGATTATCACCAGAGGAACAAATTTAAAACTTTATTAGCTAGCACATACATTTCAGGGTAAGAAGCCAGGAATAAAATGAGCACAAAAATCAATATTGGAAGTTATAATGCCTTCCTCACCTAGACTGGTAAATGCAAATGAGGAGCGTGGAGATAGCATGATGGTTAGGGAACATGCATCTGACCCGTTTAATGTATGGAACCAAGTGTCTCTGCATGAAGCCCTGGAGGTCCTTGAGCATCACTGCAGTAGGCTTCAAGGTCCTCAAACATTGCCAGAGTGACCTCAGTAATTCTGGGCACCCCAGAGCCCAAACAGCACCACCTTGATCAGCCAGCTCAGTTGGCTGAGAATGATTGGAAGGGGCCCCGGGGTCCTGGAGCTGCTCTTTGGAACTATCAATTGTATAAAATGACTAGATAGAGGATAGGAGCTACTACAATTCCCAAAGCAACACAGAGAAGAAGTAGGCCACTAAATGGTATTAAGGTAATTTGAGAAAACAGAATTTGAATTAGGATAAATTGAAAATCAAACTCCACCAGGATTATAAGAAAGGAAGTATCTTAAGGAGGGGTCAGGAAAAAATAATTCAAGTGTAAATTACTCTTTATTCGTCCTTTTTTCACACATACTCCCTAAAAAAAAGCATAAAAGTTTTCTTAAAAATTAATACATTAGACTTATACTCACATTATTATCCGAGGATGATATTCCATTACTGAGTTATTAAGGTAAAACCGCTTGAAATACATACAAGCTGTACCCTAAGATTAGAAATACATACATTATAGAATCTGTTTACATAACCATTAAATTCTGTAAAGGAAGTTAAATCCATATTTAGGGAAAGTTTTCCTTAAAAAAGTTACTCATTTATAATCCCAAAACATTTATTTTTCTTTATAGAAATAATCTATAGTGACCTACTGCAGAAAATCAGACAAAAGACTCTAAGCTACCTTGGGGCTAGAGAGGTATTACAGTGGAGTAGTGGACCTGATTTCGGCTGAGCCTGGTTCAATCCCTGACACCCCAAATGGTCACCCAAGCCCTACCAGAAGCGATCCTAAGCATAGAGCCAGGAGTAAGCCCTGAGCACAGATGCAATGAGGCCCCTCAAAAAACCCTCTCCTGCAAAAGATCAACACTCTGCATGGATTATCCTAGCCTTTATTAAATATTCACACTCAATCTTATGAAATACCAAGGCATTTGGGGCAGTAAGTCTCGCAAGTTCCATTTCAGATCTATGTGACAACTGCAATCCTGCTGTGACATTCTAAAGTCAAAGCTGAGCACACCATTTACGGACCACATGCTTGTGCCACTCTACCTCATTTTTAACCTTACAACAGTCAGGTGAAATAGTCAAATGATTTGTTCAACATCACACATCTAATAAGTGATAGGGATGTAGTCAAGCTGCCTGTACTTTGAGCCACTTATCATTTGGCTAGAACCAATGAAATACCCTTTTATCTATTTTATCTTTCTGGTTTTGGCGCCATACCTGGTTGCATGCATAGGGCTTACTCCAGGCTCTACTCAGGGATCACTCCCTAAAGGATTCAGTGAATCATATGTGGTTTCAGGGAGAGAACCCAGGTCCAACGTGTATAGGGGAGGCAATCCTTACCTCCTATAATCTCTCTGAACCAATCTATTTTGGGACAGAAAAAATCATCTAAATAATTTTAAAATTAGTTTTATTACTTTGTGGGAACAAAAACCAAAGCCTTCCCTCAATTATAAAGAGGCATTGCATTAAGACAAATTCCACACAGGGGCTGGAGTGATAGTACAGAGGGTAGGGCGTTTGCCTTACACACGGTCAACCTGGGTTTGATTCCCAGCATCCCAGATGGTCCCCGAGCACCACCAGGAGTGATAATTCCTAAGTGCATGAGCCAGGAGTAACCCCTGAGAATTGCTGGATGTGACCCAAAAAGAAAAAAAAAAAGAAGACAAATTCCACATAGAACCAGGGTAGAACCAGGATCAGCCTTATGCAAGGCAAGGATTTTAACCTCTGTACTCTATCTCTCTGGCTCCTAAATGAGGGCCTGGTAAACTATGAAAATACTTTTAACATTTTTGGACTTATTTTCAACATATTTCTATTTTTCAATCTTAGCACAGCGGGTAGGGCGTTCGCCTTACAAGCGGCCAACATGGCCGACCCGAGTTCGATTCCTCCGCCCCTCTCAGAGAGCCCGGCAAGCTACCGAGAGTATTCGATATGCCAGACACAGTAACAACAAAGTCTCCAATGGAGACGTTACTGGGCCCACTCGAGCAAATCGACGATCAACGGGAGGGCCTTTATAAAAGAAATTATTTCTTAGGTAATTATTCTTTGTTCTTTTGTCACAGTTCTTTTATGCTGCATAATTAAATTTTAAGATAGACTTCTTATTTGATAAAACTATGAGTCAAGAAAAAAATATTCCATTGTCCTCTTTCATGTTTCACATCTTTAACTATTTACTCACAGCTTATCTTCTGCAATATACATAGTACTGTAGCACTGTCCTGCTGTTCATCAATTTGCTCAAGCAGGCACCAGTAATGTCTCCACTGTGAGACTTGTCACTGTTTTTGGCATATCAAATATGTCATGGGTAGCTTGCCAGGCTTTGCCGTGCGGGTGGATTACTCTCGGTAGCTTGCCAGGCTCTCCGAGAGGGGCGGAAGAATCAAACCCAGGTTGGCCGCATGCAAGGCAAACACTCTACCCGCTATGGGAAGAATTGCAGGGAGTAAATCCACACATTCAAAAATTGTAACTGCCTGTTTCTTTCTACCATTTTCCCACCATAATAAAGACATGTGCATATAAACTGGGGTTCCCAGATCCACATCTGAAGCAACTGGACGATTTTTAATCAATAATGTATTTTCAATTTCTAATAATCAGGGTTTAGAGATTTCTTATGGCACAAGTTTCAGCTCAGACATACAATTATAATGATGAATGAATACATTATTTCAAACACAGTGATAAAGTTGAAAAAGCACTGTTCTGTTTCCAGTTCTTTTGTTCATTAGTTCAGAACCTAAAGGGAATGCAATGCTATTAATTTTCTTTATGAAATGAAGATGCCATGACCTGTGTATCAGAACTCAAAATTTCTTGACTATGAAATGAGACTTCAAACACTTGAGAGATGTTATATAGGAATTCATAATTTAAGGCATTTATTAAAAATAGATAATATGACAAAAACTGAATGCATATATAACTATGTGCATTTGGATAAAGTAGGGAATTGAATTGCAAGTTTAAAATATAGTTTGCACTTTCAAGAAATTAAGAAAGGTTAGGTTTCAGAAGTTGGCGAAAGCACAATATATTTTATCACAACTATCACTTACCACAACAGACCTTGGCATTGCTGGTTTAAACACGGAACAGAATTCCAATAATCTTTTCTCATAGTATTTACAGAGCGTCATTTCTTCATGAGGCTCGAGAAAGACTGGATCATTTGGAAGAACCTTTAGATTGAAAATTACAACAATATTTAGTGAAATTAATAAAAATCTTTTTCTCTGTTCTAATTAAATGCAGTTTGTATCTTTGAAGGGTTTTAAAAGACCTGATTTTATATGATAGAACAGCTCAATTATTGTAACAAAAAATACTTTGGAAAAAAATTTAATGAACAGTATCACTTTATAGATTCTCTGACTGTCAGGTGGACATCTGCTTCACTGAATTAAAAGCAATCATGATGGCCTATGGGTATATTCACACAGGCTGGATGTCATGTATTTAGTTAAAATGAAAATATACATTGTGAATGCTTGGGAAGCTTTTCATAGTCTTTTTCTTAATCAATAGATCACATAGGTTGCGATAAAAAAAAAATCAGTGTTTTAAAGATAATTCCCTTCTTTATCACATGATCTAATGCAGCCAACCTGGGTTTGATCCCTGGCACAGTCTCCAGCACCCCACCAGGAATGATCCCAGAGTATAGAGTCAGGAGTAAGCCCTACCAGGTGTAGTTCCCAAACCCCATAATAATAAAATAAAAATTTAAAAAAATGAATAAAACATAATCTCACCCATCTTATAAACACTACAGACTATACCAGATGGTTAAAAGTACAACTTTACAACAAGTGTCCTTCAGGTCCTGTTGTAGGTGTAAATCTAACTACCAAAAAAGATATGGGTGACGTATTAATTACTGGTCCCTCAGAATATGACCTTATTAGAAAAGGGGTCTCTCACAATAGAAGTTAAGGTGAGGTAATATGAAAGCTGAGTGGGCTCCTTAATTCTCAGATTTTATGACTTGCTTTCTGCAAAAAAGTGGGGTGGGAAAAATATGTGAAACTTTAAAAAATTTTTGCAGTTTTACTTAAAAAATCAGGTTTAGCACATCGGTAGGGCGTTTGCCTTACACAGCCAGCCCAGCTGAGCTGGGTATGATTCCTCTGCCCCTCTCTGAGAGCCCGGCAAGCTACTGAGAGTATCTCGCCCCACAGCAAAGCCTGGCAAGCTACCTTGTGATGTATTCAATATGCCAAACACAGTAACAAGTCTCAAAATGGAGACGTTACTGGGCCCGCTCGAGCAAATAGATGAACAATGGGAGAACAGGACAAAGAAGCAGTGGTGTCAACACTTCTTCAGTGAATGTTGAATACCTCAATATAAAGTGGATCCTTAGGAGAATAAAGTGAGAGATAAGAGACCTAAGAAGAACCTTATTAGGATAAAGGACTCACAGTTAGCCAGCAAATAAACACCAAGGGTACCAGATCTTGACAAAGCAAGGATCTTCCCCATAAAGCTCAACTTCTGCTTTTGCTTCCCAAGGCTGGAAATAATTAAACAAACTGGAGAAGTCATTCAACGTCTTTTTACCTCAGTCTCTGCTGACTTTAACAGTAAACATAATCACAGTCGCTACAGCAGGAGGCAGATGTGAGGATCAAGAGAAAGAAATGCTAAATGCTTAGAAAAGTGCCTGGCACACGAGTTGGATGTACTTGTTCAGTGCAGCACATAAAGAGAGGGATGAAATAAACCAGATTTCAACTAGGTGGGGCTGGAGCAATAGTACACTAGGAAGGCCTCAACGAGCAGCCGACCCATGTTCGATTCCCATCACCGGATACAATGCTCCCTGCACGCAGAGCAAGGAGTATGCCTCGTGCAACCACCGTGTGGCCCCCTAACAAAAAAAGAACCTACTGGGACTGTCAAATTAAAAGTCAAGTAGGACAGAAAACTAGTACAGCGGGCAGGGGGTTGGCCTTGCTTCGCAGAGCAACACACCAGCCAGGGACCCCTGAGCACCGCCGGGCCCCAACCCAAACAAAACAAAAAGTCCAGTACCCCCAAAGGGTACATAAGCACGCTCCGAGAACTGGGGTGCACTAAGTTCTACTGGATGTAGCCCTGCGGCTCTGGGATGGGGCCCACTGGGCGCCTAGGCCGTCCCGCATCACTGGTCAGTCCAGCAAAAGCAGCAGCTGGGGACTATCACAGGGTGCAGCCACACATCCCTAATAAGTAAAAACCTCGGTCCCAACAGGTCCAGCCACGCATTACTTGCTAAGGTTTGTGCTTCAACTAACCATGCAACTTGTGAGGAGGAAGATGCAAACCAGAGACGCGGCTGGGGCCTCTGACGGGAAGGACTGGCCCGCAGGCAGGCCAGTCAGTGGGTTCGCGCTGCTTCCCCGTCTCCAGGCGCACACGCAGCCGAATCCACTCCACTTGTAACACAGAATCTGGCCAACTTCGTTTCCTATCTGAAACCTTCCCAAAGGTGTCCCATCCCCGCGTCGTGAAATTCAAACGCCTCGAATCCCGCTTCCCAGCCACTCCCACACCCTCGTCTTGCCTGCACAGGGACTGGGCTCCCAGCACACGCGACCGTGGGCAACAGGGATTCATTCCAACGACCGACCCCCTTTTTGGCAACTTCTGACCTCCCCTCGGCGCGCCCGTCCTTCTCTACATCAGTTTACTCGCCAAGACCTCCCCCTCCTCCCCCCCACAGAGCCCCGCCGGGCCGGGGAACGTCTCGCTCTAACCCACGACGGCGAGAGCATCCCGGACAGTCTCTGGTCTCGCCGGGTGAGGTCCGTTTTGTCTCTCGGCAACTGGGCGACGGGGACGATGCTGCGGTACGCCCCGAGACCTCGGGTGCTCAACTCAGAGAAACGGCATTCCGCCGCGGAGGCGCCAGGCGTGAAGCGAGGTGAGGGCGGCGGTGCGGGTACGGCACAGGCTCAAGAGATCGGGGCGGGGAGGAAGGGTCCTCACCTTCCCGTTCGCCACCACTTTGCATTTGAACTTGCGATTGGCGTCCGCCCGCAATCGCGTGAGCTGCTCCTCGCTGGCGAAAGTCCAGTGCCGTTTCTGGCTACTGTTATGGTACATCGTGGGGTGCGAGGCCCGCGCCGGGAGGGGCGGGGTGGGGGGGGGGGGACACACGGAGAAGCCAAAAAGAGCGTCACACACTGCAACTCGGCAGGCAGAGGCGGCCAGAGCCCGGCCCGGATCCCGCGGAGACCGGCGACGTCGGCCCACCCGGCGCGCGCGCGCTGGCGTCACAACCACGTGGTGATTCCAACCTCCGTCGCGGTTCCGGAGCCGACCGGGAGGAGAACGTCTCGCGGGTTCCGGGCTGCGCACGGGAACGAGGTGGGCGGGGCCTGGGGGCGGCACCTCCTTCCGGGAGTCTGCGCCCTGGCTCCGCCCCTTCCCTACCAGATTTAAAGGGGAAGCCCCAGGGTGGCCCAGACAGGTGGTCCTTGATTGTAGGTTTGTGCAGGGTCAAATAAACCTGGAAAGGAATCCACTCATAAGTCAGTTTCCAAGTAGGCCCCGCCGAAGAGGTGACGTTTGAGTCAAGGTTTGAGAGTTTGAAGTCCTGCAGGAGTGGAGCAAATAGAATCCTTGACTCTGTTAAGAAAGATTGTGTTTGGGGGCAACACCAAAACTCTCTAGATCTCAAAGAAAATGGAACCTGGAGATGGAAAGTGGAAAAATAGAAACAATATATGTGAGTGTGTATTCACGTACACACACACACATAAAATTTTGCCACTAATGTGCTCTTGTCTAATCTTGATCTTTGTCTTTCTCGCAAACCCTATTCCCCCTAATGATTCACTGTTTACTTCTCTGAAGCTACCGGGTTTGGTAGTTTTAGGGTGTTCTTGGAAATTTCATCTTCTTTATAGCCCAAGGGAATCATGCAGTAAATATAATTCATACTTAAGAGATTTTGCGTTTTTTTCTTATGTTTCCAATTTTGCATTTGAAATGAAAACTTTGTGCTTTTCATCTTTTTTTTTTTTTTTTTTTGGTCAAAAACCCCGTCCTTGCTTGATTTAACAAATTTCTATTTAGGCATACCTTATTCTCCTGTGTATCATATATCATATTACAAAATTTGATTTTCTTACAGGAAATAGTTGTTCTAAAAAATAAAATAAAGGCAGATTCATATTAGACGCAGGGGATTTGGCAGATTCAGATTAGACTCAGGGGATTTGATCTTTAAAAAGATCAGATAGATTAAATATAAAAAATATATATTAAAAAGTAATAAAATGGGTAAGGTATATACCTTGCTTATTTGACCTGGTGGGTTGGTCCCAGACCCCCTTCAAGAGTGATCTCAGAATACAACCTGGTGTGGCCCCAAGCCAATTAAAAAAGGAAATGGAATACCTCTATTTTCTATGAAAATGTTTGTTTTCTATATTTAAGGGAGAACTTTTGTCTTATGTAATGGAGAAAACCGAAGGTAGAGTTTGCCAGTGTTATTTGAATTCCTCAAATTCCCTGAAATGTCAGTAAATTAAAAGAGGAGACAAGAGCTAGAGATATCAAGAGAGAAATGTGGTTTATGTTACGGAAAATACAAGCTACAAGGTCAGTAAATTGTGAGCATCCTAGAAGATTCTATAATGTAGAACAATAATCTTAAAAGCAAAAACATAAGAAAGATAAGCAGGAAAAGACTTGATTTAGATAAATGAACACGTATAAAATTTTAGGCCTATGACCAGCACATTTATCATGTTAATTGATTCTTCTCAGTTTTTCTGAAAGGCATTTAACAGCTTCTCTGTTTTTTGTAAAGGGAAGTAAAACTGGACAATTGCAACAGATGCCAGGATGGGTCTTCCACAGGGATAGAGGCTAAAGTTGCTCAATGCCATAGTTCATTTAGAAATACAAATATTTTTTAAAAGTCTGGTGTTACTCTTCTAATTTTTAAAAACATTTATTATATATTGGTTTGATAATTAAAACTGACCATGTCTGGGAATGTGGAATTAATGGATCTGAATTAAGAATCTACAGGAAAAACTGTTGCTGATTTCCTAACACAAGCCTCATTTATAATTTCTTCTTACTAAGATTTTTCAATCAGCCTAAATAACATTCCCCCATTCAACCTATTAATGCAACCTTATATCTTGTGCCATTTCTACAGCCAAAGACATACTGCAGACTTAGAACTTGATATCTTTACCCATTCTTTTCCAGTCCAACTAAAAATTGGCAAGTGTTTCTTTCCCCTTATTTCATTGTATATTTTATTTTTAACATTAAGGAAGAGTTCAAACATTAAAGAGATATCTTTAAATATTTATCAATTCATGGAAATTCTCCCACCTTACTCTGCATTCTTTAAAATCACAATTTCTTAGCTACCAATGAAAATATTCAAACAAAAGACAATGTATGCTTCCTAGAAGAGTAATAGAAACATTCAAAACTAGGACACAAAGCTATTTCTATTTCATTATGCAGAAGTCAACATTAATAGGAAAGATTCGTGTGATTTGTTTGTTTGTTTGAGGGCCATGCCTGGCAGTGCTCAAGGTTTACTGTTGGCATTGGCATCACTCCTAGTGGAGTTGAAGAGACCCTATATGGTGTTTGGGATCATACTGGGCTAGAAAAAGTCACTTTGGCCATTAGTAACTATTTTTAAAAAGTAAAATAAACAGGGTCTGCTAATACAGTGGGCAAGGCAACAGTGGAGAAGATCAATCTACCTCATCTTAAAAGAAAAGGAAGAAAATGAGGATTTTAAGGTTATAAAAAGAGTAATCAAAAAGTGTTTGCAACTTGGGAATAATTTTTTTCTTAAGTAGCATGATTGATTTTTAGTTTTTATTTTCCAAATACATTAATATATTCTTATTCACGTAGTTTCTCATTTCAGAAACACAGAGGAACAAAAAGGTAGGAGCAAAACAAGCCATATTTGTGCTCTTAATATATATATATATATTAATATATATACTATCATTTTTACTTTAAAATCTGGGATGCTTCTATTCACAATAGCCAGAAGTTGTAAATAACCTGAGTGCCCCAAAATAGAAGACTGGATAAAGAAAATATGTTACATCTACACAATGGAATACTATGCCTGTTAGGAAAAATGAAACCATGAAATTTGCCTACAAATGGATGGACATGGAGAGTATCAGGCTAAGTGAAATGAGCCAGAAGATGAGGCACAGGTATGAATGACTGCATTCATTTGTAATATATATATAAATATGTAAAGGTAAAGGTAAAGGCCCTCCCGTTGATCGTCGATTTGCTCGAGCGGGCCCAGTAACGTCTCCATTGGAGACTTTGTTGTTACTGTGTCTGGCATATCGAATACTCTCGGTAGCTTGCCGGGCTCTCCGAGAGGGGCGGAGGAATCGAACTCGGGTCGGCCATGTTGGCCGCTTGTAAGGCGAACGCCCTACCCGCTGTGCTATCGCTACATATAAATATGTATCTGTAAAAATCTCCATTCCAGCTGGAGCGATAGCATAGCAGGTAGGGCGTTTGCCATGCATGCAGCTGACCCGGGTTCAGTTCCTCCATCCCTCTCTGCGAGCCTGGCAAGCTACCAAGAGTATCCTGCCTGCATGGCAGAGCCTAGCAAGCTCCCCGTGGCATATTTGATATGCCAAAAACAGTAACAACAAGTCTCACAATGGAGACACTACTGGTGCCCGCTCGAGCAAATCAATGAACAATGAGGAGGACAGTGCTACATATATATATATATATATATATATATATATATATATATATGTAAGACCAGGATCAAAGGCCAAGGAAAACAGGGGCCAGGAGGACTGGTCATTGGTTGGACTACCACAAGTGTGTGTGGTGTAAAGTAGGTAAGATAGAGAAGGAATCAGTATATCAGTATGACGATAATAGTTGGAAATGATCATTTTGGAAAGGAACTGAGTGTTGAAAACAGGTCAAGAGATATACATGATAGCCTTCAGTATCTGTATTGCAAGCTACAATCAATGGAGAGAGAGAGAGAGAGAGAGAGAGAGAGAGAGAGAGAGAGAGAGAGAGAGAGAGAGAGAGAGAGAGAGAAGTGTCTCCCATAGATGCAGCCTAGGTTGGGGGCGGAGGAGTTGTGTGGTGAGAGGAAAACTGGGAACATTGATGCTGGAAAGTGGACGCTGATGGAGGGATGGGTGTTAGAGCAGTATGTGACTGAAATCCATCATGAACAGCTTTGTAATGGTCTATCTCATGGTGATTCAATAAAAATAAATTAATACATAAATAAATAAAATCTGGTATTCTGTGTTAGTTCCACATCACAATATCCACTGTATAGTGGTTAGACTACAAAACTATAAAACTATCTCTATAAGAATAAAGACTATAGTGGATAGAAAGCTTTAAGACTAAGATTATAAGACTGTAGCTATAAGACTAAAGACTATAGAGGATGGATTGCAAAGCATATTTTGCGTGATAAACTGTTTGACTATAATAAACACTATAAACCTGGAGTACAGCACAAATACTGAGTGGTAAATCTACCAGTATACCCATGCAGAAAAAAATAATGTAATGCTGCCTAGAAGTCTAGCTTCTTAGAAGCCATACACCAAATGTCAACACAGTGATGAGCTTTATAGGTGATCTTTGTGTCACTGTCTCTTCATAGTAACAAATGACTGCTGTCATAACACTCACATCTCCTCTATCGTTTATGTGAGTTGGGTAGAATCTGTAATTTGACAATGCAGATATTAACGAGGTTCAAAGTATAACAAGAGAATGTGCATGATTTATTTGGGAGGACAAAGCAAGTAAGTCAATAGCAGAGCTATATATATAGGCCCTCGGTGTATCTGAACTGCAAGCAACAGAAGTCAACTCTGATTGAGAAAAGGAATTTGTTAAACAGGATTTACATAGCTCATAGATCTGAGAGAACTTGAATACAAGAAAGGAAGAGAGTTTAGCCTGGAATCCCCTGAGGTTGAGGGCAATCTGACTTGAAACTTAACCCCTTTAGCTATTGCTGACTATGTAAATACAGTTTTCCAATGATTGCAAAACATTTAAACCGTTTGTAATTCAATCCTGCACATGCAATTAGCACTCAATCTAAAACCCTTACTTTGCTTTCACCCCCAGTTGT